CAAGGATGTATAAATACGAATAGGACTGCTTGTTCTGCAAGGGAAGAACAGACCTATTTTAAAAATATATTGTCTTTTCTTCTAATGTCTGTATGCATAATATGAAGAAGTAGGAGTATGAATGCATATTGTAATTGCAATGCTGTTCAGTTTTTTTAAACATAAAAGTGCTGTGTAATATTGACATGCTGTTGTTGTTTTGGTTTATTTTTAAGGTGCTCTTGATCATATAACCGTGACAACAAAAGATGGAAAGTTTCCATTAAACCAGCTTGGACAAATCTCGCTGAAATCTCCTCAGCTCATTATAGTAAATATGGCTAGTTTTCCAGAGGTATGTGGACATGATTGAAGGGATATGAAGATCCAAATGGAAGGAAAAGGGGACTGAGCAGCTCAGAGGCATAAGCTTTTTATCTCCTTTCAAAACCAAAAGGAGTATAATTACTGCAGGAATAATAAGATGAAACTGAGCAAAGGAAAATGTAGACTGAATGGGCAAATTCCACTCCAGTAGAATTAGCACAATTCTTATTGACTTCATTCTGCATCACCGTCACTTCCTGATCTGACAGTAACAGAACTAAATGTTTCACTACTGAGTGTATGTGTTGACTTTCCTGTGCTGTCCTGTGTTTTGGGTACCTCACCTTTGAAGCAGCACTGGAATGTTGCCATTGCTACATGATGCTCTGATTGAATTTGGCACAGTATCGGGGAAAAAATCCTGAGAGAGCTCTTTTAGCCTTGTGGAATAGTCTCCTATCACTTGAGTAATTTAAACTGGCCTGAATAAAGCTAGAGATAATATAATATGGAGGAAAATTCTGCTTTGCCATGGCCTAAAAGGTCTTTCCCTCTCCAGTATCTGTGTCACATACAGCACTCTTTGCACACATATAAACCTCCCATTGACTCGGGAATTATGCATACAGTAAGAATGCTAGATCTTATCCTGCTATTTATGCCAGCCCAGCTCCTGATGAAGACTAGTCTATATCATGAAACCATTACATGGTGGTAGAGGACTGGAACGCCTATGAAAGTTATTTGTCTTTCACTTGTGTCAATGTCAGCCTCTGAAAGTTTGTGGCAAAAGTAGCATATCCACTTCTGAATAGATTGTGCCACTCCCATAGTGGAGCAAAGTTGGGCATTTAATTTCCACCATTATCAGTGCCACAGAGAGGGCTTTTGCTCAGAAAAGTGACTGTAAAGTGTCTCATTGACCTCTATAGATCCTTGTTAGTATTAGTGGGCACAGGGTCAGCCATTGCCCCAGCTCTAGAACTGGATGATTGCCAACATTTATCTATCTTTATTTTTCAAAGGCTTCTCCCAATTAATTAAGCCAGCAAAGTCTCCAAGGAGGTCGTTATAGGGCACTTGATGCCACAGGGCTTCTTAAAACGTATCCAGTGCATGATAACTTTCAAGAATTCTGGGTCCAATCCTGTGAGCTGTTCAGATCTAGGTCCCACTAGAGCTAAACCCCTAAAGTGTACAGATGAGAAGGTTTGAATAAGTCATTGTGGGACTCAGCCCATCTGCAGTGAGGAAGTGAGAATGGCTTTGAACCAAATGCCTAGAAATGGAATATCGTTCTCTGTATCATCGCCCCAAATCTAGTTATTCCCCAAACCAGGTACCACTTAACTCTTGACTATACACTTCTCCAGCTGAGGTTGTTATGTAATCTGTTTGATGGAAATAACCTGGGGCTACTGCTTGGATGTAGGAGGATGGGGTAATACCAAGATAACTTCATGCATGTATTGACCTGGATGTATTGTTTACAGCATCTGTCTGGTGCTTGCATTGTATCAAACAAAGAATAAACATTATGTCAAAAGAGCATGTGAGAGAAAAGCACAGTGGAAGTGGACCCCCTGGGCCAAACCCCGTTTGCCTTAGTCATGTGCAAGGTTTAGAAAAAACAGTTAGAAAAACAAAAAACTCACAAAACATCTAACAGGAATAGTTCATTTGCTGGAACAGGGTGGGGGTAATATTGTGTTTTTCCCCTTCCTCTGTCTCAGCCAATGTATATGTTAAACAATATTGCTTTAACTGAGCATTTCCTTCCCATAGCCCAGACACTGGTTTATAACATCACATGTTTATGGCTTTAAAATGCTGCGCTAATCTACTAGAGGTTTTCTCTGTTCTCAATGTCTTTAGCATTTCTTAACTTTTAAGTCCGCTTAAATGCTAGCGATTGTGTTTTACACCAAGTTGACACAATGTTCGTTTGCATGCAAATACAACACAGTTTCAAGGAGTGCCTTGATGGATAAATGATGCACATTGTAACTACAATCTATTGTAGTAGCCTGCAGCTAAAGTTAATGATAGGAAAAGAGGAACAGAAACAGCAGCACTATTTTAAGAAAACTTAATACTGTTAGAAAAAAAATCAAGGCTAGTTTTCTTCTGTTATTGCCTATGTTAAAGAATGAAATAAATTGACAGGGCATGATGGAAGTTTGCTAACAAAATGTCTGATAAAATGACATTTTACATAATTACGGCCGTAGTGGATCAGACCACAGGTCCATCCAGCCCAGTATCCTGTCTACCGACAGTGGCCAATGCCAGGTGCTCCCGAGGGAGTGAACCTAACAGGTAATGATCAAGTGATCTCTCTCCTGCCATCCATCTCCACCCTCTGACAAACAGAGGCTAGGGACACCATTCCTTACCCATCGTGGCTAATAGCCATTAATGGACTTAACCTCCATGAATTTATCCAATTCTCTTTTAAACGCTGTTATAGTCCTAGCCTT